TAAAAAAAAAAAAAGAAATTTTGAAAAAAACGGATTGGAGTTGTGAAATTGGTTACGTTATATCCATGTTAAAACGGAAAAAGACGGATATACTTCTCAAGATGAGTAGGTTGTAGATGAGAAGTTGGAAAGGTATATATAGAGGGGAATTTAATTTATATTTGTATACAGCAATAAACCATTACTGATGAAAAACGATCCGCAGCGAAGTTTCTTTCGTATATGTACATATATTTTCCCTTTTTCCTATATTTTTCCCAGTTTTTTTAAAATTATTAAGAAAACTGCTTAAAAAAATCAAAAAAAGTGACCTCCTTAAAGTACTAGATACGGTATCTAAGATACCAGATACCTAACCTAACTTAATTTAACCAAATACTAGTATCCACTTCACGTCCCTTCACGAGCAAATAGACTTAACCTTTTTTTAACTTTTGGACTTTCTCCCGTTATACCTCCAGTGAGAGTATTTTAATATCTAATAATTTATAAATTTACGATTTATTTTCTAGTGGACACACAGTTAGCAAGATCTTACTCTTTTACTGGGTGTCTACACAGACTAAGAAAATCTCCCTGACCGCAGTGTCATTTGATATTATTGGTAACCTATTATCATGATATTGTTAAGAAAATATTGGCGATGTTTTTTTTTTTTTTTAATGTTTCTGACATGTATAAATTATGCTTAACCTCTACTTCTTATACGTCAAAATATACTTTTGATTTTCAAAAAGTAACCAAACACTCTTAAACACAGATACAAATAGACAATAAATTGTATATCATTTTTAGACGATAATTTGAATTCAGAGTTTGAAAGTTTTTTTATTACGTTATGTTTATAATGTTAAACTTGTCAAAAAACGATTGAAATAGATAACTTTGATAAAGGAAAATGATAAGGATAAAATTTAGTTATCACTAAACAAAATAGTGTAATAGAGTGTAATAAACAATTTTGATAAACATAAATCAAAACAAAACGATAATCCAATAAATTTGAAAAAACAAAAAACGAAACATAACAGCTAGAGAACGAGTAAAATCGTAAAACAATAATAAACGTTATTGTTCATTTTTATTATTATAAATTATTACGTATTACGTTTACATAATGATAATTTACATTTATAGGTATTTTTATACACTATCTTATAATTTCCGTGAATAGTTTATGGAATGGTTTTATTTTATCTTTATTTATTTTATTTATAGCAATTGATTTGGATTCACGGTACCTGTTTATTAACTGATGAAGATAAAATAAAAGCTGTAGATCATTTACTTGAGACATGGAATTCAGTGATTAACATCAGTAGTTACAGTGGTTAGTTATATTAAAATGTAATATTTTTGAGTTGAGTATTATTTTTGGATGTGAGTCAATTATTCGAGTACGACAATATTGTTCGCACAAAAAGTATTTGAATAAGGTACGATAATATTTTTCAAATACGATCTATACGTCAGTCTGCCAGTGACAACATTAAATTGAAATCTGATCGATAACTTTTTGAGAATTATCTGATAGATTGTGCGATAGTATTAATAATAATTAATAGGTATCTAATATTAATACTCACATCACACAAACCCATGCAACATTCAAGCAGTGAATATTCACCAGTATTTTGTCCGTTTCATTTTATTTTATATTTTGTTTTATATTAAATGACTATGGCTTTGAAATATATAAAAAGTGACCTGTGTACAGATATTCTCGTATATGAAAACCATATGTTTTATGCATACATTTTGTATACATTAACATACATATTAAACTTAAAAACCCCTTTACTGGTTGAGCGTATAAAATAAATTCTTCTCGAATGCATTATCTAGAATACATTTTTCTTGAGGATCTGATTCAATGATTAACACCAAAATAAAGTATTTTGGAAACATAAATTGACTGTCTTATAAAGAAGATATTATTATATTTTGATTTAAAAATAAGCATTTTAATATTATAATTTATAAACTGAAAATTAATTGTATTATTTGTATTTTTGTATAGATCAACGTAGACTGTAGAGCATTTTTTTTTTTAATTAGCAAATAATTGCCAACTTTACAATGTTCAGATTTCAACTATAACTATAACGTATAGTCTTTTATTCCAATTATCTAGATAATTAAGTGAGTTAACTTTAATGCCTGTATAATATATATTTTGTAAACAGTAATTTATAATAACTTTTGTCAAGTACTTATAGATTTTGAGCGGAGCGACTGAGCGAGCAACGTATTGGTTTTACAATGATTATTTTTATGTTTTTCTGTGGACAACTTTTCTATCATTAAGTTTACTGCGATTTACAACGGTTTCACTTTTTCTGAAAGAAAATCTGGATGGGAAGGTACTCTAAGAAGATCGTTTTTTGATTTTTCCAGAAGTTTTCCTAACAAATAGAAAAAAAAAACATGTGATAAACGGGAAAATAGGTACAATATTAAACAAATATTATTAAAGAAAATATTTAATGCATATGTAATTATGTTAACATAACATATATATTGTTGATAAAGCAATACTATTAACCGAACTCTGCTTAGAATCGTTTTCCATTAGCAATGGTTAATCGTTGCCTACAGATATACATTAAATTTCCCCTCTACCTTTTCAACTTATAATCTACAATAGTGACCCACTCATGTGCGAAGTATGTCCGTCTTCTTTTTTTTTTTACAACAAATATGATAGGTAACAATTTTATACTCTTACCGTATAATATTTAAACCGTTAACTCACAAACGGTAAATCCGATATTATTATAGTGTTATGCATATAATAACATTCTATATTTGAATCTGTATTTATAAGGGGTTAATATTTAAAAATCTAAAATGTATATACATTTGCAAGTATAAAGAGTAGCCGGTAAACAATTGAAAATAGTGAAGTATTTCTAAAATAAATAACTTTCCATAATGATTATAAAAAAACCAGAAATCAAATCTTGTGAAAAAATCGTTAGTTCATGATCAGTGGATCACTCTGTATAGTATATACGTATTGCAATTTTATATTGTCATTGTCTTGCTGACAACTTATTTACTGAGTCAATATATTCAATATATAGTATTATGATGACGAAAATGACCACTGTGCAAATTTATATGTTTTGTTCTATGTACATACAATTATATGCGTGTAATACAAAAAATATTGATAATTAAATTTAACGATAACACAGTATGTTATTATAATTTAAATATGTTATAAATCACACGAAATCGCTTATTATTGGTAAATTATATCATCTTCTCAGTGACGGTTATAAGGAGTGGCAATAGGTGAATCACCCCCTTGGGATTTGATTTTTTTAAATTTAATGAATCGCTAGCCCAACAACAACTATCTGTACATTTTCGAAATTAATGATTTGATAGCAAAAATTTAGAATTTCCTTGATCATATTTTACGTTTTAACCACGAATAGTACATTACATTAGTAAGTGGCACAGATATTATGCAGAAAAATGTATTCTATAATATATCTGTGGGTTTTGTTATCTAAGGACTATGATTAGAATATGTAATAAGCACACAGACTTCTATACTAACTTCTTATAGAAATCAGTGGATACACATGGAAGTAGGTAAACAATTTAGTTTATCGTTCATCTACTTCCTTGGGCCGTGGCGATAGTGCGATACACAATATTGCTATCAAATGGTAAAGACTACTGTCATCTCGGTTAATGTTTCAATGCTATATATTGCAATTATGCATGTGATTTACTTTATTTATTTAGATTTAAGACATGATTTTGGTAAAAAACTAACGAAAACCGATTAAATGGGCTAGTACAGCTTCATGTCTATAGGGACTTAAATATTAATATAGATAATATTATTTTTCGCTTTGCTAATCAAAAAAAAAGAAAAGACATATATGCTTTTATTATAATTATTATAAGACAGGTAATAAATTATAAGTCAATACATTTATAGTACACTTTTAGCTAAAAATGTTCTATTGTGAATTTTTAATAGTGTAAATAATAGTAATAATTAGGTAGGTAATATGTACAATAATATATTAATATTATTAACGGATAATGTGGATGTAGGTATGTACATTTTATGATATAAAGTAACCTATTCATGAGCTATTGCCTAGGTACCTATATCAACTATACATTGTACTTATTAAAAATGATTAGCAAGTATGTGCACAATACAAATTAGTCATTTTTTTTCGTCACGTTTTCCCACACTAGTGTACAAACAACAAAACTAGTTTTGTTTTGATTGATTTATTTTATACTGGATTAACTTTTTGGAGAAAATCATTAGTTTGTGCGGATATTCATAATCTCAGACTGTCTGCCTACCAAAAGATCCGAGATTTCTATGGTTTAAATATTATACACATTTAAATTCGGTAAATCCTCATCTATAATAATTATTATTGAAAAAGGCAAATAACTGTCCTCTCGAATAATCGGTCTTTTCATCGTATAAAAGCCCGTCGAATTATGGTGTTAAATCATTATACAACAAAAAGCCGAAAGCATAAGATAATAGTATCATAAGTCGTAGTCAAAAGACACAAGTCGTTATTACGTAGACTGTAGAGGGATGACAAGTGAAAATATTCCCCTCCTATCACAATATCCGCCATTGCGACCGGCAGCCGGCAGCCGCCAGCTAGCAGCCAGCAGACGTGCCTCCTTGTCTGTGCTGGAGTGCGTCCGCCGGCCGGAGTGACCAATTATTATCGACGGCTGGGAGAATATTGTACGGTAAAGTACAAAACCGTGACTCAACAATAATTCAGAGGCTTATTTATTGACGTCGTTCGATACATAATATTATTTTAATGGCCGTTTCGAATTTTTTTTTATTGCATTTTCCAGTCTGAAAAATCAAAAGTAAAATATATTGTAAATGTGTAATCTCTATTGGTTTTTGTTCGGTAAGGTTGACTGCACTGCGTAAGGCCGGTCGGCTATGAGAGACGCCGCCGCCGTTCGTCGGCTTGCGGGTTACCTGGTAGCGTTCCGGTGCTTTGTCGCTTTGTCTCCTCGACTATTCCGGCTTTAATGAAATTTTCATTAGAAAATGTAATGTTCCAAAGTAAGTACTATTATTTTTATTATAACAACATAATCTGTTGATTGTGTCGATATCTCAATAGCACATTTCAACGTTTTATAGACGAATACAAGCCAAAAAGAAACGCACATCAAGTCATAAGCATGGGTCGACATCGGCGGTAGTACGATAGACATCAATGGTGAACGTTTTGAATATTGCGTGAGTATTTATATCATTGTAAATCGTTTTGATATTTATCAAATTAATTTTTCATAATTTGTTTTCATTAATATTGTTTTAAATTTAAAAAAAATGTTATAACCACACGAGGACCCTAGTAACTTTATTGATTTTTTTTTTTAACATGCAGTATACCTACCATATATGTAATTACTCTACTGGTGTTCACTTTCAACTAATATTTTGACCCATTCAAATTCAAAACATTTTATAATTTCGTAGTACACATAGATTGTAATATTTATTATTAAAAAATAAAATTGTAATGTGTAGTTGTCATGGGTTTAAGTAGGTCTTGGATTTATTATGCTTGTGCATGTTTTTTTTTTAACAGTCAAAAAGTAGCTAGATAAGCTACAAGTTAGAATTATAATCAATAGTTCCAAAATACAAAGTTTTATTTTGCATATTTTGTCATTTTTTGATGTGTACTGCATATTTTTGTATTTTACAATTTTTTATTGCATTATAGTCTAATACCTAAGTGCTTCAAACCTATCTGTTTTACTATTGTTTGTTGGTTTTACCCACCTATACTTGTGGTCCGCAAGGAATTTGTTTTCTAATAATATCTAATCACTTCTAGATAAAGTAAATTCAGTCGTCATTAGTTGAAATCATTTTTGAATGTATATTTTAATGATCAATGTATAAACACATGCATATTTTGTATATTTTTGGTGCCATAATTCGTTATAAGGTATCAAATAATACAGTACAATATTTAAACATTTATTTATTAGCTATCCAGATTTGATAGTTGAAGTGTATATACTTTGTATAGGTACCTAATAGTGATATACTAATAGTGATTTCTCAGTGTATCTTTCAAAAACTCCAAATTGAACACGGTATTTTTATTAACATTTATAATGATATTGGTACTTGTTTTAGTATTCTACTAAAAACTAATCAATTATTGATTCTTCTGTTTCAAAATTATTTTGGGTTGGTTATGTACTTCAATGATGTACACGTGATTGATCCACTGTATTAAATTAATTGTGTACATCTATCTTTATGGATTGATAATAAACAAGTATTAAACGCTCACACAGAAGATTTTAACGATCACTTACTATTGTTTAAATATCTAAAAGCATATTATATTTCTAGGTATATAATTATCTATTATATAGATATTATTTTTTTAACAATAATTAATCTTCATATCAATATTCAGGTTTTTTTTGATATTTCGAAGATAAGAAAAATGTTGTAATCTCTTCTTTGGCCTTCCATTACCTCTTTTTCGTCTTATTTTTTTATTTCTTGATCTACTCAAATTATTTTAATTTTGTCATTCATTTGGTATTATATTGGCATTACACCTAGTGTCTTAAATTTCCTTTTATACTTTATTACTTCTTTATTAATGAATTTGTTACAAATTATATTTCGATTGGGTGTAGATACAATAGTATAATTTAATATTGCTTATTTAGTTAGATGTACTATATGCATATAGTTTGTACAATTTATCTAAATAATATTATATATTTTTATTAATATTTAGGTATACAAGATATCTCATAAAGATATAATTGTTGTGATATCTTGGAAAATTTAAACTTTTTTAGAATTTTGTTTTATAAATTAAGGAATAAGTAGCATTGAAATGTGCACACGTGGCTGTTTTTATGTATATGTGGGGCAACAGACAAAATAATTATATACATTCCCTTTATTTTATGTTCCCTTATTTTTGGGGGTGAACTGACTACCTACTTTTGATTTTCAAATAGAGACCCGTATTTTAAAAATTCCCTAAATAAAGAGAATATTAATTAAAATAAATTTTACTGTTGATATTTTTGATTTCCGGCTACCCGTTGGCAAGGCATTTCACTTTTAGTTATGTGTAGCGAGAGAGTAGCGTAGTACTGTCAAACGATATGTTGACACACAAATTTTACTTAATTTTTTTTCCTCCTCTCATCTTAAAAGTGGAATATCTTGTTAACAAGTTGATGGAATCAAAAATAAAAATAAAAATAAATGATACTGGAGACAGGTTGCGACCACTGTTGTACTAGTATTTTTGTCAAAATTTAATATTAAAGTTCTTTTAAAAAGAAAACCAAAATTAAATTCAACTCTTGTATTTTTTTTTTTGTTGACAACGTATAATCAATCTCATCATTCAAATTTTCAAGCATTTCTCTCAAGTCTAACAATTTTATCCACTTAATCTAAATATCTATAATTAGCTCAAAAATGTTTTTAAAGTTTTAAAATGTTTAGAAAAAGTCAAATAAAAGTTTTCTGTAAAGTCTACGAATATTTCTAACTAAACTACATTACAAAAATAAAATTTAAAATAATAATAGAATTAATTTTGTAAATTTTTTCCATTCTTTCTACATATTTTTCGGTTTTGCTGATTATTAATGAAATTACTTTTTTGGTCAACAACTAGATTAAAAATTCAACAAAAAAGATTTCCATTAGCTTTTCTACTAGCATTATTTCTGATAAAAAAAAACATTCTGTAAACATTTAAAATAAAGGAATCTTAGCATTAATTTAAAAAAATATTTATTTTTGTCTTCCTTAGTTTTTCCTAATTATCGTGAAAACTATTTCATATATCAACAAATTACTTTGTCTATCAGTGTTTATGGTTTGTCATAGTTTTGATTAGAGCAATATTATAGGTAGAAAACATTGTGTTAACAAATTGAGAACTATGAAAACAATAATGCTGTAGCGTGTCTTTAATATTAATATTTTGCCTATAATTTTCTTTAGGGTTTCTCAAATTACTTGAAAACCCTTTGGACAATCAAAAACTTGACATCTTTAATGAGCCAACTAGACAAAATTTCTGTTCAGAAAGAATACTTTACATCAAAACAATATTTCTTTTCGAAAAGTTGTTTACAGACAGAAAAAAAAAATCGTATAGTAAAACCAATAAATCCTTTGTAATGCTTTGAATCTAAAAATAAAATGAAATAGCTTTCATTCTGTATAGATAGGACAGGCATAAGCAGCTGGCAGTATCATTTTTAACCTACTTGAGTTTTACAAATATTTTAGTAATACTTGTACATTTGGTTTTGATTTGACTAGTTTTTTATTTTTCATTTAGTATATTATTTTTATACATATACCTTATTTCAAAATAGAACATACCGCTTTCGCGACCAGTTTTCGTTCAGCTGCGCACATCCCTTCCAGGTTAGGTTTTCTTTTGAAACAGAGTATAGATAATATTTTTTAGAATTAATATAATTAAATTGTTTTAGTCTTTTTTTCAACTTTACACTAAATGCATTTTTTTTTTTTGTTTACAGATAATGTTGTGTGTTAGTTTATTAACATCGTGCAAAATACAATATTGAACATTTTAATGAAGGTAAAAATTTATAATTTATATTTAATTACGTAAACTTGTATTATTGATACATTATTATTTTATATTGTGTGCATTTTAATTTAATTTTTTGGGTTTGTACTAAATGTGAACTAAAGTAATCTTTCAAATTAATTACAAATTATAACTAGTAATACACTAAAATAGTATTGTTACTATGTTAAACACATATGGTATAGATTTTTAATTATTAAGTAAGAAGATTTTAAATAAAACAATAAAAAATATTAAAATTGTACATTTTAATGAGTTAACTATGTTCAATGAGAGAAAACTAAGTATACATGTTGGAGTGTCAATGTTTAGGTAAATATTAGATATTGATGATTTGTGTACTATTTCTTTTGCCGTGTGTAGATAATTAATTTATACTATATTTGATATACCTTTATCAATTAGACTAAGTGTAATTTTGTAAGAGTTATTATGACCATTTTGAAATGTATAAAACACTGTAACTATTATTATGTATTTTTGTTCTATTTTAATTAGTTGCATAAAATGATCTAAGCTTAGATAGAATGTATTGGTTTATTTGAACATTAAAAAATTTAGATTTACTATGTGTTGTGATATATATTAAAATTGGGTTTATAACATTTTTAAACAAATAAAATCTAATTAAAGCATTGCTGTATTGATAAAATTGTATAAGATAACTAGTTATTAAGCTGTTTGAATAAAATATAAATAATATTATGCTTTAATATAAAAATGTAATATATTATCTATATAGGTTTTTTTTTTATGAGCGGTCTTGGTGTAAAGCTATTAATAGAAAATTACTATACAAGGTGTCCCTGGTGATATATAACATTGCCTTCATATTCCATAAAGATATACTCATTGTATTATCTCCAGAGATAATAGAGAGAATCAAATTCTATTTTATTTTATTTATTTATATGTCACTCACATGGATAAGGACAACAAGTATTTATGTTTCAAATTTATTTTTATTTTTTAGTAATAAACTTCAATTTATTATTTTTAATTTAATGGAAATAAAAAGATGAGATGACGTCAACATTTTTAGAAAAATACAACTGTCAAATGGCTATTTCAAAAATAAAGTAAGTTTTTTTTACCAAAATATAAAAACTGAAATTAAATATAAATATTTGTAGTCTTTATCTCTGTGAGTAATATATTTAAAAAAAAAAACAATTTGATTATATCTATTATCTCGGGGGATATTGCAATGAGTATATCCAAAGAAGGTTTATTATTGATGGTATTTTGTCAAATCCACTCATAATAATTAAACAATATAGTAATAATATTAATACATACTCACTATAATAGTTATTATTATTTTTATTACTTGCATTATATTATATTAAATTATAATATGTATGATATGTTATAGCCATTGAAATTATATTAATGCTGTTAAATTAATATATACTATTCATCGGTATGCATAGTCCTTTCGGTATTTTCTAAAATTAATTTAAGTGTCACTTAAGCACATTTCTGTAAAATCACATTGTTTAGTCAACAATAAGGTGACCATTGTTAAATAAAGTATCCATAAGTTGATAAGGTCAATCTCCTACACTTATCTGCTCCGTAAATAAATAATGCGCAGATTTCTATAATAGCTCATTAAGTATACATTGAAATTAATATTTTAATTCATGCATTGTGTTTCTAGAACAATTAATTTGTCTAAAGAATATTAAATGTTTTATTGAACTTAATTACTTAGAGTTATACATTTCACTGATCCTTTAGATTTTAAAATTTTAGGCAACATTAAACTTTTTGGAGTATTCTTATACACAAAATTATAATAATTATTTATAAATAAAAATCTATTACTTAATTATTATTAAATAGCTGTGTCTCAAATGAGCTTAACAACGAAAAAATTGTGTTGCAAATTATTCAACGTATTTCGAAAAATGTATCAATTTTTATAGTTACTTAATTTCTTATACTTCATCGTTAGTTAATTTGGATTATTAAAATAATTGATAACACTACTAAAAATGATTAATTTAATTATTATGCAAGAATAAATTTCTGATATTGAGAATTCTTAACTTATTTTTCAAGTAATATACATAATTTAAGTACACTGTTTACCTGAATTTCTACTATGCAATCTGAGTTTAAGGATCTGATAAATATCGCCTACGAGTCCCAAAACTAAGTATTAGTTAATTCTGATTATGCATATGGGGGATTTTGTAACTTAATTCTTTATTTTTAAAAATTAGTTGTTGACACTAATTAGTAGGTTGACAAATTGATGTAATATAATTTTTACTGTTATATTAGTAGTGTTATACCTACATCCAAAATCTATGTAAATTGTCAGTGTGGACTGCTGTAATGTGAAAGTCTACTGTTTTCTATGATTTGATACTATTGAAAAGATTACTGCTTCAGCTGTATTGACGTAATATGACATTTTACATATTACTGCTATAGCAGTAATGTCCGTCAATGTGTTATTATTTTATTACATTGTAATTATATTCAAATAAATAAATTATAGTTTAGTCTCAAGCACCCTTTTTAACTTAAAATTATTTTTTAATGTGTAAATAAACTGTCAAACTATAAAATTGAATTGTAAATGAGCTAATTAAAATAATGTCCATAGAATCAAATCAATATCTAAAAAAATAATGGTTATTTAAGTGTATATACATTATATTATATAATTTTAAATTTCAAGATTGTTAAGGTTTTTGTCGAGTTTTTATTATTTTAACTATTTGGTCTATATTTATTTAGTTTTATGATAACATAGTAAGTAATTATATCATCTTAAAAGTTTATTTATATATAAATAATACATGATATATATTTTTTTGCAGTTTAAAGAAAAAATAGAAAAACATTATTGCAGTACAACATTACCTAAGATACAGAAAGAAATGATATTCGCTTTAAAAATCACTTGCAGGTAAAAATGCTTACATTTTTTGAGTAAATATATAATATATTTTAGGCTACTAATATTTTTAAACACATTTCCTCGTACTGAAATTATAATATACTGTTATTATTGTATTAATATTAACAAAACTGTTTACAATAAGAAAAAAATTAATTTATAATTTGGTATAAATTGACACTGTATGAAATATTTTTCCTGAATTACATAAAAATGACTAATGATCTTCACTTACCATCTAACCTATCCTTCCTTCATATCTAACCTCACCTCGTGAGAGTGTGGAGGTTCATTAGAGCGCCCCTTATTAATTTATATACTTGCCATTTATGTCATCATCACTGGATCATGATATTTAATTATTTATACATATTTTACATTCTGAACGGATTGTGAAATGTGTTTGATACTCGTATCAGACATATTGATCATGTTCGATTATATTTTATCTATTTAATATTAAGGTACTGAGAAATTTACAATGTTATTGAATTTTGATCTCAATTATAATATAATTTTAAATCGTAAGTTGTATAAATATGATTATTATGGATTAAGATTTTCTTAGTTTGTGATGAAAACTTATTAAATCCACCCCAATACAATAGGTACACACTTAATAAAACTATGGCTTGACCAAAACTTAATATTTTTCAAAAGAGTTTTTACTCCAATTATTAAATTTACATTTGTTTATAATTATCATAAGAATAACATTTAACTACTATAATCTTTTTTGATTAATGATTAATGTATAGTATATGATAGTGTATAACTGACTAGTGGTGGGTCGAAAACAAATTAGAGCAGCAGAAGTATACATTTTTACTGTGCTCTGGTTGGGGTGCCTACAAATAAGTACCTATCTTTTACTTTCTGCTATTCACAAAAAACAATTAACCAATTTTCACTATTTGTAATCCTTTATAATCAGCTGCAGTATTTACGTTTACTAGTGATGGGTAATGATATAATTTTGGGTATCAATATCGTTCCGATTTTTCCGATATTGTTTCGTAAGGTATCGTGAGTTGTACGATATTGATATTGTATCAAATTATCGATATTGTTGCCCATCACTAATATTTACATTTAATTAAATTATTGTTGAATTAATTATTATTAAGTTTGAATACTATTTTCATTTTGTCGAGAATTGCTATTACAGTTATTGTTTTTATTTAAGAATTAAATTTGCTTTATGAATATTATAAGACAATCATTTTATTCTATTTTTTATGAATGAATGAAATAATATTTAACTAGTATCATATTACATATTGGTCTATTCATATTACCAAAACTATGGGCTTTATATTATAATTCTATTATAGTACACACAATTTGGTCTAACTAATGTATAGTGTATTTACAATTTATTAGTACTTGAAAGTAATATTGGTAATTATCATTTATTAATTTTATTTACATTATACTGAAATACCATGAGTGTATAATACAAAAACTAGATATTTTTAAATTTGTTCACAAGATATATGAGTCTATGCTTTTTTTTTTTTCTTTTTCTTTTTTTTTGTAGAACATTGTTCATTTTATTTATTGCGTATCATATTATATCTTTAGAATCTACAGTTCATACATTATTTCGCTAACATGACGCTAAATACATTTCTAATGTATATGCGATGAGTACATATATAAAGAAAATAAAAAATAGAGGCAAACAACCTTGATGTACGAGTGCAATGATCTTTACCATGCTAAAACCCGAAAATCAAACCAGTTCCTTTTTATTTGTATTTATTAAACATCTTGTTAAAGATAGTTCTGCAACAAAACTATATTAGTAATTCTTTTTTAAGTTATTTTTTCTAATAAAACAATTCATGATAAATTGATAACTATGTCATGTTCAAAACTATAAAAACCCTAAAACGTGAATTGAATTATTAACAATAATTTATAATTTCAATATTAAATGAAAATATAATGGTTGGTAAAATTAAAATTTTTTTTCCCATTTATTATATATTAAAATCTAATAACTAGAACACAGATTTCTACGCAATTTTATATTTTTTTTCCTTATCACATTTTTTGATATTTGTCAGTAATCCTTTACGAATCACAATAATTTAAAACTAATGGTGAATTTTTGTTTTATATATTTCTGCCCATTTAATGGTTATTGCATATTTTTACAAAATTCAAAATGCATTTAATAATGATGCAAAATAATATTTTATCAAGTAGAATCAAGGTTACATACTGTAGGTGCTAAATAGTAATTTAAATAAAGTTAAGATTACTAATCATTTAAGACATACATTTTTGTGTCTCAACTAATTACTTGTGTCAAACGTTCTACAACAATTAATGTAGTACTATTAGGCAAAAATGTTTGACTTAATAATATTTATTAAGACCAAAAAATATTTAATTGCTCAAAATATGCATCAACATATTATAAAACCTAATATATACCCAATAGTTTAAATTAACGTTCTCAATTTTTAAAAATATGTTAACAGATAATGTGATGCTTCATTAAAGAAAAACTTAAATTGCATATGGTTATTTATTTATTTTAATAATAAATACTGCAATTTTAAACATATATTAATTTGTTCGGAAAATTCTCTTAACTTTTTATTAAGTATATATCTTGTTAATTATTATAATTTTTTAAATTTGAAAATCAAATAAAAATTGTGAATTTTCAAAATTCACAAACTAGATCAAAAATGCTATCCAACGATTAATCCATGATAATACCTACTAGAAAATATTAGGAATATTTGAAATGCATAAAAATTAAAATTGTGTTTTAGAATGTCTTTAGTTAGGTCAATTTATATTTAAAACAAATGACTTGAAATGTTGTATGGGATTAGGAAATTGACTGCTAACTTCAAGTCTTAAATAGCTTTAACTATTTTTATTACATGAATTATTTACTTATATTACATGAAACTTTCAAAATTATGTGGTCAAATTTATAGAAATCTTGATAATGTTAAGAAGACACACTAGTATTTACTGTCTCAATCTAAACAAATGAGTAAAACTATGTTACTTGGAACATAATTTAGGCGTTCAGGTTGAAATGACAGGTTTAACACAAAATAACAAAATCGTCCTATTTAAATTTTGTTACTTGTGTTAACATTAATTTCAACCTAACGACCTTAATTCACGTTCCAAGTAACATAATTTCACCATGTTGGTTAGATTATAAGACGGTAAGGAGGCTATTTACCATGGCCTCTTTTTAATATTTAAATAATGTGTAGGTATAATGTGTACATTAAACATTAACAAATTGATTTGAATAAGATGTAAATAGAGAGATTTAATATGAATGATGAATCGACACTGCGAATATAAATACATTTGAGAGGTATTGAGTGTTTAATACAATAATATAGCCACGTATTGGATTTATATAAGTAACCAATTATCAGTTTATAGTTCGAGTGTCGGCCGTGTGCGGTAATAATTCCGTAAAGCTTTCGTGCTTTCTTGCGGCGCTGCCTGCTGACACAGGCCGTTTACATCGACTACTACTACCGGTCGGCTGCGGTCAAGACTCGTCGTCGTGCGCGCGTGTTGGCCGCCGGCGGAAACCGGTTTTCCGGCGCGGTAGATTTTCTTTTGGTTCGTTAACCTTTCCATATAGGAAGAAAAAGTATGGAAAAAAAAAAAAAAAAAAAATTGCATAATAAACGACGAATTGCCACGGCGACGACGACAGACCGTGGCCGTGGTAGACCGTAATAGTAGTAATTGATGATGATTGCAATATAATTCGCCATTTTTATTTGGTTTTTTTTTTTTTTTTCGAAAATAATATCTTCGCTATACCGTGCGCGCGCGCGCGCTTGTGCGTATAGGTATACTATTATTAAATGCTAGTCTCACGAAAAAGGGGGGGACCCTCCGTTCTTACGCGTATTTTTTTTTTCTTACACTAGCAAAGCGTGAGGGGGGGTAGGGGGGACACGTCGTCTGTATACAAGCGCGCGCGGGCGAGTTTGGCTTGGCGGGTGGGCAGCGGCGGCGGCGGCGGCTGAAGACGTTGACGAGCGTTGTCGTCGTCGTCGTCGTCGTCCTCCGGACGTTCAACTTGGTCGATGTCAAGGGCATGTGCGCCGGCGGTTCGGCCACACGAATCACCGAACTCTCCTTCCACGGATCGTTTCTTTGTACACAATGTCGGCCGTGAATGGTCTCGGAACACACGGAGTTGCATGCGCACATTGTATATAAATATAACGCGGTTTTTTTATTTTTTGCTCTGCCTCTATTCTATACTCCGCTATGACGATGTGTGTGTACCTGGTGGCGAACCGCACGCGCGTTGTAGTACACTGTCGGTCGCTGTGATTATTTCCCCAAAAAAAAAAAACGCGGCCGGGCACCTGTCTCGCGGCGACAATAACGTTGACGTACGCGCGCGCGTATGAACAAAATGAAATATTACATAATATTAATTAATCGTATTTTCGCGCGACCGTTTGGAATATTTATCGTTTATTAATAGTCCGGCATTGTTAGTTGCGTAATGACGTTTCCCGGTCAATAAACGGGGCGGTCCTGTCCGTCCGGCGTATTTTTACATTTTTATTATTACGCGTCGTTTCGCGACGCGCCCGATAACAATTTCGATTTTTGCATTCGCGCGTGGCGCACCGCGCGAAGAAACCGTCGCGATGGCGTGTTGTGTGTGTTGTATCGTGACTATGTTATAATATCGCGGACCGAATCGAAATGCTGTACAAGAACGATGGCCCTTTTTTTTTTCTTCTTCATTTTCTTAATTTTTAGCCCACCGGTCTCGTGAAATCGCTGTGTAACATTCTTGTATCCACCGGCACAAATTAATGGGTGTGCGCGGGGAGGGGGGGGGGCTCGGCCCCTATAAATCGCACAGTCACGATATTTTGAATTTTTCCATTTTCTTTTCTAGTCTTGCCGTGTTACGCAAAAACAACGTATTATACCGTGTACGTTGTGCGATTTATATGCACACAGACATTCGTGTCCTCCGTTGAATTGAAATATTGTAAAAATTTTGTTGATTATTTCTCGATAGCGAGGTTTAAAATTATATTTGATGTGGTTGAGGAATGATGGTCTTTGATATTTCCATCAGTCATTTTTTTTTATGTTTTCCCAGTTTCAGACATTGTGGTATTGCAGAGAAATCGCCTATTATTTGTTTATTTTTATACAATATGAGTGCTAAAATTTAATATTATCTAAAAAAAAAAATTGTATGCTTCAAAATCTTGGTTGAAAACATTAAAGTCACATTTAATAAACAAAAAATTATCTGGGCGTTTTGTTAATTTATTGAGTTAACTATAACAAAATGTCAATTGAAATCAAACATAATAACAACTGCTGGTTTTTTTTTTCTACCGTTGGTTTCGCAAATCGTATTCATCATACCATTTTTTCAAATTTATACAATTAATAATATATTCGTTATCGAGACTTGAATTTTGTGTATAAAGTTGGATACAGCATAATTTACGCAAATAGTTTACTTGGTAAATTGTGCGATTTTATTTTAAAATGTAAACGAATTGCCAATATTTGAATAGTGCTTATTTTCACGTTGTCGGATTTAAATTTAATAGAAAATATTAATGTAATGCTCACAGAAGCAAATAATATGTTTGAAAAAAAAAATAATGCAACTTTATGATAACAAAAACAATGCTGTGTGAATTTATATATTGAGCATTATTATTAATAGTAAATGAATTAATAATAATAATTACTATATTATTATTATCAGATAGGACTATAATAATAATAATTATATTTTAATATCTTCTTTAAATTAGCTGCGCATTTATTGTATGGCGACCAAAAGAACCTATAATTTAGTAAGAATGAATAAAATGAATTATTTTTCGATTCGTATAAAATTGGGGAGTTTTTTTTTTTTTTTGTTTGGTTGAATATATTTTAATAGAGTTGTGAGGTTACGGTTTTCAATTTTCTTTAATTTGATAGAACGATACAGATTTATAAGGTCAAATTCAAGGTTTTTTTTTTCCATCAAAAAATCCTTACAAATTTTTCTTAATAACAATAATGCATTTATAATGTATAAATACTTACTACAGGAATAAAAAAAAATCGCCCGTATTATTTCAATACTATCAATATATATAAAGAAGTTTAACGTAGTTTTTTTTTGTTGTTAATGAAATCAATTCTGCAAACGTTTAATATTGTTAAATTGATTTGTTGACAAATAAATAACGGCCGTGTTAGCTACTGTTAATAGACATTTGTGTTTAAGTAAATGTGTCTTTGTTGTACTGCTAGTGTTTGGACTTACCTGCCCGAACGTCTAATAATTTAACAAATCGCAGGAATAAAAAAAAAAAAAAACATAATAATACAATATAATATATATTATGGTCGTTCGGCGTACGGACCCCCCGGTCATTATAACCGTGTAGTATGTATTCGGCCAATTAAACAGTTTAATTAACGGAATAATTTGCGCTTTTTAATAACTGTTATAAAAATTATACACGGCCGAAAACCACCTAGCTCGTGAGTAATGATATTGATGAGAAAACGTTGTTAAATGCATAATGCACATAATAATAACAATACGAGACGTGATAATAATTAACGTATAATAATAATTGGATACAATGCGCCAGAGGTAACTGACACGGGATTTTCGTTTTTGTGTTGCAGATTGAAAAAAAAATAAATAAAAATCGGGTTTTATTTATTTCGTACATTTATATATAAAAATATACGTCCGGGCGAAATTCGGGCGCGCCGTCGTGGATGGGAAACGATAAACCGAGGGAATGGTTTTCCGTCGGGATTACAACGGATTTTTTTTTTTTTTTTTCTGTCGGGAATTTCGTGCCCGCGGGCCCGGAACGGCCAGGTGTTTCGCCACGTTATATTGTTGTAAATCCCTCCCGGGCGTTATTTCGCATGAAAACGTACGATTTTTTTTTTTTTTTCGTCTCGAAAACCGCGCTCGTGTACCCAAACGTGTCCCGGACCCGCCGACAACAACGGCGGACCGACGGCGACCTGTGCGGAACCTCCGTCGCGATTATCGTTCTTTTGCAGCCGTTGTACAGGTAAAAACGCGCCGCCCGTCCTTTGTAAACAGTAATAATGTGTACCGGGTGCCGTGTGGGCGGTCGGGGTCTTCTTGTATTTTTAGAACCGGCGGACCGTACCGTTTTCGACGGCGGGACGGCGCGGACGTTTATTGTACATCATCGTCGTCCTTCTTATTATCATTATCATTATTATTATCATTATTATTATTGTACGAAATATCCGGGCGCGCAGGTAAAAACCGCCGAATGATATTTACACATACACGACGGGTATTTATTGTTGTTATTTCCCGTTTCGGTGCGTTCCCGGTGTAGGGGCAGTGTAATAAAGGCATTTGCGCGTTCCGTATCGTTAATAATATCGCGATATTATTTATTATATCGTTGCTCGCGAGCGCACGAAAAATCGGAGTATCGTCCGGGGATTCCATTGTGTACGGACAATCCGCGTGGGCCCCGAGTGCGTTTCCGAAGTGTTGTGCGGAAGACGCTTAGTCACACGTTCACTCATTAACGACAATAATAATAATACGAACTCCATGACAAACTGGAATATATTAATTTTTTTTTTTTTTTCCCCTTCTGCTTCCAGTTTGTTGTTTGGTGCACTCGTTGAACGAACGTTTCAGTAAATATTATAATTACCGTCCCGCGCGGGATTTGATATTATTATTTTGTACGATTTCGTGCTTTTGTGCGTGTCGGTCGTGTTATATATTGTCGTACAGCGCACGGGCGGAGCGCAGGCGGCGGGCAGTGTATAGTAGCGGCCGGCGTTTTCTTCTTCGTGCGTTCCGTCTTTTCTACGAGCGCGCGCGCGCTCGACATTTTGTCGTTTCTAAAAACGAAATAATATTACGTAATATTCGGTCGCGTTTCTATCATATTTTTTTTTTCTTTTCTTTGTTTTCTCTCGCTTAAGCAGTTGCCTGCCGCCGCCGACGAATTTATTTTTATTCCTCGTTATATACGGCGTCCGAGATTACTGCCGTTATTGGTGATAATCCCTTAATAATATTCTATAAATACACCGTATACACCGATTGATGTCCGATAATGACGATTAATCCAACGAAACAATTGCCGCAGGTATGGGAAACGCCGGTCGTTAATTATAATTGGGTACTATTTATGATATTTGATTGTAATAACGGAAGACCGTAATGTATAAATCGTCGGCCAATAAAATATTAATAACGATAAGCGATATTATTGCGCGCTGTTATTATTATTATTATTATTATTGTTAATTAATTTACACGTTGATGAATAAATAAATTGGTGCGCGCTTTCGATTCGGCGCAATGAAAAATTATGTTGTCCGCTTTCAGCATTGTCGGAGCGAACCGGCCTGCCGTTTTCGGCCTCCAAAGGAAGTCGTCGACGTTTTTATTTTTCCGATTAAGATGTAAATGATTTTTCAAATCGTCTACGACCCGCG